TATATATAGAGTACAAAATAATAAAGAGGAATTCTTTCCGTAAACAAGACTCTCTAAATTATAAATGATATTGTGTTATTGCGTGAGAACGAAGGATCTAATTTATAGAAGTTCAAAATATTCTTTTCCAAAAAAATGATTAGCCAAATATAAAAGATATTTATCTTATTATTTTTTTCAAAAAAAAAGTAAAAGTCAATTATCCTTTCTTCTTGCTGACTGAATATTTATTTAAATCTTTTGATAATTGCCTATAAAAATCTAGTAAATATAATAGTTAATTGATTAAATTTGGTAAAGATTCGATCATTATGGATTAAAGATAGATAATGATGTCTGACACTCTGAGATTTAAGAAATAATTATCCTCCAGATTAATATTGACCTTTTTTCTAATCTAATCCGATTCTCTGCTTTTCAACATGTAAAGTCAACGAGGTTTATATAAAATAATCTTATTGACATAGATATTAATTAGAATGTCATTAGTTGGCTTCATTATCTGGTAGTTGAAATGACAATCTCAATCAAAACGCAACATGTTGCTCTAATTTTGGAAACACAAACTCCATCTAGTTCCAAATATTAATCTGTTTGGTATGCTGAGCTTATATTAAAAAAATTGAATTTTTTAAATAATAAGAAGCATTTCTTTATCTTTTTTTTCAAAATTCGACCTACACTACCTTAATTAGTAGAATTTTAACTAAGTAAGATATGTAAGAGAAATATTTTATACAAATACTTTTATAATTAAAAAATATTTTTTAAGAAAGTGCGCAAAATATAAACCAGGAGATGTAGAAGTTAACTAAGTGGATTTTGAACACAATGATGGTAGCTTTCTAAAAGAACCATCTAAATACAAATTATGTTTTCAAATAATTTCCATATTTTTTGCTAATTTTCTCTAAATAAGTAAAAACAACTTTTACTATTGACCAAACGCCACAATGTTTTTCAAAAAGAATTAACCTAAATAGTCTTCTTCCAAATTGTTTAAATTTAAAATAGCTGATAAAAGTATAACATATAAATAATTCAGGTAAAATATATGTATAATTATATATAATCAGTGTATAAATTATGTACACCAACTAGAAAAAAATAATGAATATGGTTGGCTATTTGGATAAAGATGAGGGAAACGCAAGAAACTATTTGTCAATAAAACTATAGACGGCATAGAGTACCGAAAAGGCCTAAAGATGCTCTTTTTCAAAAAAGAATTAACCCAAATAGTCGCTCATCCAACAATTTAAACTAAAAATAACCAACAAATATAATATATATATATATATATATACTTATAATCGTGTATAATCTATTTATACCAACTAAAAAAATATACAACAAATTTAATCAGCTATTTGTGTAAAGATTCCTTCTTTATTCTCCTATTACATCATATCATATCTAATTATCTATTATCAAGAAGGGAGAAAGGGAATCATATCACGTTCCAAAAATGATCAAACATTTCCAAATAATTGCAAACCTAGTCCTTTTGTTTGGCTGGAGAATGTAATGATCAGATCAATTAATTACTGCAATTAGCAACGATAACAGAATAAGTGCAACTAATTGAAGGCAGAGTCCAAGAATATTCTGTGGTTTAGATCTTTAGAGTAAGTCTGTAATTACATTAAATGTGAAAAGAGAAATTATTTTAATTACTTGTAATATTAAGATCACCGATATAATTTTTTTCTCTTTGCTGCCTTCAATTTGGTAATGTACATTTGAAATTATTCAAAATGTTTTCTAAATTGAAAAATGAAGAAATATATAACTTATTATTTATCTATGATTCTACGGAATAAATTAAAATATTTCTTCATTCGTTTTAAAGAGAATGACACCATTTCCTTATTAGCATGTTTAATAAGAATGATATATTTTTATATTTAAAAATAATTAAACTTGAAATTCCGTTTAACAATTAACGAGAATTTTTTGTACCTACACAAATATTATGGCATGTTTAAGATCATAAAATTTTAAAGTCTTATAACACATAAAAGTTAATAGACATTTAAAAGCACATGTTTTAAAAAAGTTCATTTAAAAAAAAAAATTGCTTCTTTTTCATCTTTCTTTGGGATGAGGGTCTACCGGAAACAATCTCTCTATCTTCACAAGGTAGGGATAAGCTTTGCGTATATATTACTTTCCCCAGACTGCACCTTATGGGTTTGCACTAGGATTGTTGTTGTTGTTATTATTATTATTTTTAAATTTTTGTACTCAAATTAGAGCATATAAATTGAATCGAAAAGAATACATCTAATTGGATTTTTCTATTATTTGGAAATTAAAAAAAGAATAATATATTCTTATGAGATTTATAGCCTGTTTGGCCGAGCTTTCTTTCTTCGACCAAAAGTACTTTTTTCGAAAGTTAAGGTATTTGATCAGGTTTTTAGAAGGAAAAAAAATATATTTTTGAGTAGAAACACAAGCAGTTTTTGAGAAGCTAAAAAATTAGTTTCTCTTCTAAAGTACTTTTTAAAAAAGTATTTTTCATTAAAATATACTTAGAAGTACGTTTTACAAGTTTGGTCAATCATTAATTATTGTTCGAACTTCTTAAATTTATTATCAAATACCAACTACTTCTCATAAAAAATACCTTTTTATAAAGAACGTTTGAGAAAATAAATATTTTTTAAAATGAATTAATTTAAAAATTTAGCCAAACATGTTATTAAATTGAGCTGCTACATGAAAGAAAAGAAAGAAAAAAGGAGAATAGAGGGGAGATAACTAAAGGAAGGTGAGCGGTAGCCATCATAGGTGCGTGGCGCTAAAGTACCGAAAGTAGAGAGAAAAGTGGCATACATTAAAAGAAATAAATAAAAAAGAACAAAAATAGATAAACAAAAAGAGAAGCGGAAAATGGAGAGATGTAAAAGAGCGGAAGAAAGACGGCAGACGAAAAGACTTAAAATTCAGTGCACATTTTTTATTTAATTTAGTATACTAAGAGTCCGTTTGGACATAAGAAATTTTTTAATTTTTTCGAAATTTTTTTGCTTTTTTTTTAAATCAGTGTTTGACCATAAATTTTTAAATTTTTCACTTGAAGATGAATTTTGGAATTTTTCGAAAATTTAAAAAATTCCAAAAAGCTGTTTTTCAAAATTTTCACTCAGATTACTCACAAAACTTCAAAAATAACCCAAAAATATATTTATGTTCAAACACAATTCTAGTTTCAAATATCATTTTCACTTGAAAAATAATTTTACTTTTTTTTTCCAGAATTTTACAATTCTTATGTCCAAACGCCCACTAAGTACTACTCCTTCCGTTCACTTTTACTTTGCAGGTATACTAAAAATAGATTTTCATTTTTACTTATCACTTTACGCATACCAAGAGAAGACAATTTTTTTTCTTCATATTTTACCCTTAATTCATTAACCAATATTTCTTGAATAAATAATGGTCAATTATAACTTTCCAATGCTCAATACTGGAATTCACACAGAACTCTTCATTATCACCCTTCTTTAAAAACTAAAGTCATCTTTTATTCTCTTGTTTTATGAAGTATTTTTTTTTCCGAAGTTATTTGGGAATTTAGGTTCAATTATTGAGTATCAATTAATAGGGTTATTGTGATAAAATTATCATGTCAATCATTGTTTCTTAAGAGACGTGAAAAGTCAAAATGTGCCAAGTAAAAGTGAACAGAGAAAGTATAATAATACTATTAGTTATGTTGGAGTCAGTTTGTGTACATAAGTGCAAGTTGATAATTTTATATTGTCTATCAAGATTTTAAAAAGATATACTTACATAAGTATTGTTCTAATATTTAAATTTGAAATTTCTAAATAGTTACTCTTGTACAATAAATAATAGGCCATTACCTTAGAGATGTAATAGACATCAAATTCGGCGTATGTTATTTACTTCTTATTTTAAATGTCAATTATCCATAATAAAGAAAAAAATGTATGTCAGTGTTAAATAAATTAGAATCATTTATAAAAAACTCAATTTATTCGTTCAATATCTAAAAAATTTATAGTAATAGTTAAGATTATTTTATTTTTACAATTAATTAGTGCGAATCCTTACAAGTTTCAACTTGCCAAAGCTACTCAAGTCAAAATCTTCTTCTCACAGTAGTTTAAAATTAAATACAACGTACTTTTAAGTTTTTATTTAATAGAATAAATTAGGCATGCCAATTTTTTTTGTTAAACACAAAGTACTCTTAAGCTTTTCATAAAAGAAATTAGGCCATACCCAATCTCCTTGTTTGTGGCACCATATCTTGTTTACACCTAAAAGTGTGAGCTTTTAAAAAGCATATCACCTCAACGTAACTATTAATCAATTTGAATTAGTATCAAATATAAACATTTTTATTATCAATTGTGTTTGTAAAGTTTATTCTCATTTTACTTCTGAATTGTCTTATTACTTTCTCCCTATCAGTTAATGTGACACAATTTTTTTAATGTCTTAAAAAAATACCTTTATATTTTTTAAAAATAAATTTTTTTTTAATTTTATTTTATCCTTATTTAGATGTTTTATGACATACAAATATTTATGATTTATTATAAAAAGTGAATTTCAAACTATTTATCTTTGTTAATCTTTCTTGGAGCAACAGTAAAGTTGTTTCCATGTGATCTATTACGAGTTCGAACCGTGGAATCTGTCATTGATACTTGTATCGGGGTAGACCGCCTACATCACTCTTTTTGGGTGTAACTCTTCCCCGAACTCTACAGGAACGTAGCATATCGTGCACCAAGTTGCCTTTTTTATTTTATTTTAAATCTTCCTACCTGATTAAACACCATAATATTATATAGTATAAGATGTGATGGATGGAGTAGTTTTTCTTTTCCTAAATATAATTGATTATGCTTGAATTATATTACCATTTTACCCATGAAAAACATTCTTATTAGACATTTTAAGCCACTCGCGCGTGTGTGTGTGTGTCATAAGCTCAATACCACGTGTCCCACTGAAAACAACTCCTCCTCCCATTCTCTTTTCCCCCACTAGTATACAACATAGAACTGTTACAGCAGCAGAGTTTTATCACTCATCAAAGTTTGGTACAATTCTTTCAAGATTTTCTTTAAATGAGAGTGAAAGAGGAAAAGGGTGACTTAATAATTGTTTGGTTCTGAGGAAAATTGAAGAAAAGTGTGTGTGTGAGAGAGGGGATATGTATACAGGAGGATTAGGAGGGCCTATGCGAAAATCATTTAAGGATTCTCTTAAAGTTCTTGAAGCTGATATTCAACATGCTAATACTCTGTAAGTCAACTTTTTTTCTTATTTTTTTTCTTCTTAGCCAATAAAAAAGTGTTTTTTCTCTTCATTTTGGTCTCTATTGATATCTGAAATCTTATGGTGTTTTAGGATTTACTGTGATTGCTTTAAAATTTTCTGAATTTTTTTACCCCTTTTGGATGTTTTGTGGTTTTATCCTGTTTGAGGCACTTTTTATTTCTGTTTTTTTTATAAAAAAATATTTTGGTTCAAATTTTTTTTTACTGATATTTTTTTTTTTTGTTTTTTTTTTAGTTTTGAAGTTTTAATCTTTTTATTGATTATTCTGAAACCTTTTCATCTCTTTAGGTTGTTTGTGCCTTTGTGGTTTCAACCCTGTTTGAATCATTTTTTCTTTTCATTTTTTTTTCTGTTTTGGTTCAGAAATAATTTTTAGTGATATGGGTTTTTGTTTTTTTGAATTTTTTATCTTTTTATTTTATTCTACCTTTTGATAATTTTACCCTAAGGCGTATTTCTATAAATAAAGTTAGAATCTTTTTTTTTTTCTGGAGGTGGTTAATTTATTGATTTTTTTTGGAGACTGTTTTGGCTACCAAAATGGGATTTTTGGAGTTACAGTTGCTAAGTAATTTGTGGCAGAGAGTATATATTTGATTAAGGGAGTTTGTTGTTATCAGTGTTAGTTTGAAGTTCACTTCTTAATTTGATTGCTTCAACTAGAGATGAAGGTAACATTTTCAATGCTAATTGATACTTAGCTTGTGAAGAGAGTTCTAATGTTCTTATTATGGAATTTTATTTATAAACTCTCAAGGCTTACCTTTTTCTTTTTTTTTTTTTTGCTTCTGTCATTGAATATTTGATTGTTGCAATCTGGTGTTAGAGCTGGAAATTTGACTAAAGAAAGTAAAATGTTGGTTATTTAGTAGGTCATTTTTCTCTCCATTAGTGCTCTTCTGCTTTGCCTTTGGCTTTTCTTTTATCCTTCTTTTTAGTATAGGACTGGTATCTTGAGCCAGCTTGCATGCGCCTCGGCTAATCCACCAGCTTGTCCACCCGTCCCTTGTGGACCCCTCTTTGCTTTCCTTTTCTAAGAGTACTTTTTTCTTTTTTTTCCGGGGGTTGGGGGTTGGGTTGGGTGGATCGACCAGCAACCCAGTGCTGCCATCGTGCTTCCATCTATTTAGCAAGGGACTTGGAGGCAACACTAGAATGAAATATTATTTAACCGTCGAAACGTGGCATGCAATTTAGTATCAAATAGACCAATTACCCACCTTTTTGTAGACGCATATCCATAAAATAGATCATTAAACACTAGGTGATTTCTTTCCATCTGCCTAATCCTTAGTGGGCAGAGTTATCCAGTACCAGGAGGTAGCAGGTACCCGGTAGAATAGTCGAGGTGCACACAAGTTTGCCCGAACACCACCATTAATAAATAATAGATCATTAAGAAAATGTTCCGTCATCAAAACATAATGAATTGATGATTTGATTTGGTGACAATCATTTGCTGGTTTTGGTGAATGTGTCTCCATAGCGGGTAATGGTAATTTGGAATGCAGTGCATCTGACTTTTCCGGGGAGTATGATGGAGCTTGCTTACAGATGCGAATGTCCTACAGTCCTGCGGCACACATCTTCCTCTTTTTAGTGCAATGGACTGATTGCCATCTTGCTGGTGCCCTTGGCTTGTTGAGAATTCTTATTTACAAGGTTTGGAATTGTTCTAATTCATGCATTACCAAAATTCCCTTCTTTTTTCAAGCACCAAATTCTTCCATTCAAGCTTTTTCTCATTTTGGAATATCTAGGGTATTCAATTGAGTACCTTTTACCTTGCTACAGGTATACGTCGATGGCACCACAACCATGTCAACTCATGAACGGAAAGCAAGCATTAGGGAGTTCTATGGCGAGTTTCTATATTTTTCTTCTTTCAATCTGATGACATACTCCCTCTATTTCAAAAAGAATGAACCTTTTACTAAAAGAATAAACCTTTTACTATTTGGGGTGTCAAACAATTTTTTTTCAACCATATTTTTTGCAAATAGTTTTTAACTATTTTGAATTGCTAACTGTTGTGACTTATATTACTTTTTATGTTGTTTCTAAATATGTACATTTTATTCCAAAGACCTTAGAGATTTATGTCCGAATTCACACGGAAAATTAATCATGAAAAAGTTCAAACAAATTGATACAGATGGAGTAACTACTTCATGATAAATCATGTAAATTTAAATATTTGTCGCTTATAATCATTAATCTTCCTTGTCCAGCTGTTATTTATCCCTCCTTACTTCAACTTGAAAGAGGTGTTACGGACTCAGAAGACAAAAAGCAAAAAGCAGTTTGTTTGGAGAGATACAGGAGACGAGATGATGAGGATTACAGACAAGCTTATGATTTGGACATTGAAAGGGAAGATGAATGTGGAATTTGCATGGAAATGAACAGCAAAATTGTCCTTCCCAACTGCAATCATGTGATGTGCTTGAAATGCTATCGCGAATGGTATGTTTCATATGCACTTTTTGATACATACTTGAGTAAGCTTCCAGTTAAGTAAAAACAATATATGCCATCATGAATTCAGTGACAAGATCCTTACTCCGACCCTAGTACCCTAACATAAAGAAGAAAAAAAAGGATTTTCATGGAGAAAAAGGACATGCTTATGGCATTGAAGAGGCCAGATAATAAAGACATGAGTCAAATGTACAGGGGAAATATTTTTGCTTATTTCGTTGGGTAAGCTTTGTTGTTTCTTGCTTCGGTTGTCTTTTTCTGGAAACAGTCAATTTGGAAACATCTGATGCATGGAAAATGCATGTGGCACAAGCGTGCTGCCACATATCTTGGGCATAGATAAAGCTATCGTATGTACAGAGTTCCACTTATATGAGCTTTTTCTTCCTTTCATTTTTTTGGTTTTAAGGGAAGCATCCAGTATATTTAGGATAGTAGAGCTCTGTCTTTTGACATGGTTTTCGTAATACCTTATGCATGATGAAGACATTGCAGGGGTTAAAAAAAAGTTACAGCATTCTGCGACAAGTAAATTACTTAGGAGAATTTAGTAAATTTGACACACTTCTCCAGGATTGATGAATTTCTTCGGGGCAGTGCTCTCTGGGCTTTGGTCTAGTGGTAAGACTTAAGAGCTCCATGCATAATGTGTGGTAAGGGGCACGTCACGGGTTCGAGCCCTATTGCAGATATAAAAACCTGGTATTTAAGTGGAGAAGGGT